AGCATTATCAACCAGGTTACCAAATCTCTTGAACTACCGCTCTTTTTGGTGCGGTGGTGCCTGATTTTCTCTATTGCCCACACCTGATCCACTCAACCATGGAAATCAGTGCCCGATAGCTTGGCACGTTACCCATTTAGTCCCGAGAAATGACTCATCCTCCTGCATTAGTCCCCAGAAATGAGTTTTTCTCTTGCCAAAGCCCCCAGTTATAGACCCAGCAGTGTTGTTTGTACACCTGAAGGCATGTAATCCAGGATGTGTTTGTACAGTACTATTTAATACTTTATTGACGATACTACACCCTACTTTACTATTTAATCCGCTATCTTGCATAACACCCATCACTGTTGCTTTTGCCTTTAGGCAGGCTGTAGAAAAGAATCATACACATGAAACGCGGCAAGAACCTGCCCGCGGCAAATGGGACGAAGCGAGTGCTCCTCTCACAACCCTTGAACACGACAGGCAGCACACGCGGTGGCCACGCGGGATGAATACCACCTTGCGCTTGCGATGCAGACACACCACACACACAGAGCTCCCCGCTCTGCACCACTTCTCCCATCACCATTCTTCCTAACACAACATTCGTACCGGTACCGTATTCTCCCGGAAAAAACACCCTAGGGTATAGCTAAAAATACAGGGAAAAAATGGGGGGGGTCTCCTCATCCTTACAGATGGCATATTTTAGTGTTAGTGTTTTTTTAATTAGACAACGTGGGTGTTTTGATGGTCGTTTTAACATCACTGTCTGGGGCGCGAATGTGAGTTTCGGCCACGAACTTCATCACCCCCACGAAATTGCCATGTGGCACTGTGAGAATAATGAGAGGAATGAATGAACTAGGAAACAGGTGGGTACAAGTAGAAAACACAAAAGTGTTGTACCCTCTAAGGACTACCCCACTACAGCCTAAAGAGACTATAGCATATATAAGTTTGACACACCCCCATAGGCAAAGTGGGGGAGAACAAGGGGTCACAAGACCACTCAAGAAGGCAAAGCAAGCTCAGGGTGGATCACAAAGTCACCACGCAGTCTGAGCACAAGCAAAGGGCCACAAGGCCAGTTCACATGCAGAGTTATATAAAGGAAAGCAAACAATACAGTGAACACAACCTAGCAAGTGTAAGCATGCAGGTATAAGTATATAGAGTACAGTACAAGCAGAGTCAAGTAGTCAACAAGTGAGGCACAGTAGGTACAAGGCCTAGAACAGTACAGAAACGCTGATGATCACAAGGCTGAAGTGCCTTGGTGAAAACATCAGCAGTGTTGGCCTGAGAGGCCACGTAAGCAAGACGAAGCTGGCCACGCTGCTGCAACTCTCGAGCAAGGAAGTAGCGCAGAGCAATGTGCTTCATTCTGTGCTCCAATCTGTGCTCCTGACACAAGGCCAGCATGGCCTTGTTGTCGACGTACAGAACTGGAGGAGAACGAGGCGCCTCTCCCAAGTCGGTCAGCAGGTAGGTGAGCCAGCGTAGCTCCTGTGCAGCCATGGCCCCAGCGTAGATCTCAGCCTCACAACTGGAGCTGAGAACAGAAGAAGAACGGGTAGACCGCCAAGAGACAGAACCGGAGCCAAGACTGAAGGTGTAACCCTGTGACGACCGCTGCGTAGCCAAGTCGTCAACCTAGGAGGCGTCAGCGTGACCAGTGAGGACAACTCGAGCCCGTCCTCCAAGCACGAGCCCCATGCCCGATGTACTGCACAAGTATCGCAACACCCTCTTCGCAGCATCCCAGTGCACCTTTCGGTGCCTGCCGGGAGCCACGTAGCGAGCCAGAAGGCTGAGAGGGTATGCGAGGTCAGGTCGTGTGCAAGTCATCAGGTACATGAGGCAGCCCACAAGCTCTGGATACGGGCCACTCGGCTCTACGGACTCGTCCGAAGGTGGAGCTGAGAGCGAGTGACTGGTAGGCAGAGGAGTGGACTGTGGCGAGGAGTACGTGAAGCCGAAGCGCTGAAGGACCTGCTGCACCATGTGTGACTGAGTCAAGGTAATGGTGCGCTGTGCTCTGTCCCGGGTGACCCGCAAGCCAAGATAGCTTGTCAGCTCACCCAGGTCTGTGCACATGTGTCTCTTCTGCAGCTCGGACTTCACGTGGGCAAGTGCCTCAGTGTCAGCAGTAGCAAAGACGAGGTCGTCTACGTACACGAGAACGTAGAACGGCGGCAGAGTAGTGTCAGTGCGTAAAAACAGAGAAGGGTCAGAAGTGGAAGGAGCAATAGCAAGAGTAGCAGCAGTAGCAGCAGTAGCAGCAGTAAAAGCAGTAGCAGCAGGGCACTGCAAGGCAGTGCTGCTCGGTAGGGCAGTGCGGCTCGGTGGGGGCGGCGCGGCTTGGCTGGGCAGGGCGGCTCGGCTGGGCGGCGCGGCTCGGCTGGGCGGCGCGGCTCGGCTTACCAGAGACGGGTGCAGGGGCGGGCCGGGACGGCAAGGGCCGCGCCAGTAGGGGCCGGCAGGGGCTCGTCAGCAGGGGCCGGCAGGGGCGCGCCAGTAGGGGCGCGTCAGCAGGGGCCGGCAGAGGCGCGTCAGCAGGGGCCGGCAGGGGCGCGCCAGCAGGGGCGCATCAGCAGGGGCCGGCAGAGGCGCGCCAGCAGGGGCCGCGCCAGCAGGGGCCAGTAGGGGCGCGCCAGCAGGGGCGCGTCAGCAGGGGCCGGAAGGGGCCGCGAAGAGCCGCTTAAGGGGCCGTGAAGGGCTGCTAAGGGGCCGCGAAGAGCCTCGGAGAGGGCCGCGAAGGGCCGTGAAGGGGCCGCGAAGGGCCGCGAAGGGCCGCGAAGGAGCCTCGAAGGGCCGCACAAGGGGCCGCGAAGGGCCGTGAGGGGCCACGAAGGGCCGCGAAAGAGGCTGCGAAGGGCCGCGAAGGGCCGCGAAGGGGGCCGCGAAGGGCCGCGAAGGGGCCGCGAAGGGCCGTAAGAGGGGCCGCTAAGGGCCGCGAAGGGGCCGCGACGAGCCGCGAAAGGGGGGGGGGGGGCACGAAGGGCCTCGAAGGGCAGGCGCACGGGGCGCAGCTAGGACAAACGCGAAGCGCGCTGCGGGCAGGTAAGGAAAAAAAATGCGTAGTGGTGGGCCCTAAAAAAACAGTCCCACTAGGGAACCTGCTCTATACCATGTGAGAATAATGAGAGGAATGAATGAACTAGGAAACAGGTGGGTACAAGTAGAAAACACAAAAGTGTTGTACCCTCTAAGGACTACCCCACTACAGCCTAAAGAGACTATAGCATATATAAGTTTGACAGGCACCTCTCTGGCCACTTGCAGCGGAAGATTCACCAGCACGTGGCGACGGTGAAATAGTGGGAGGGGGGAAATTCTGGCAGATTGTAAGTGAAAGTACCGCAAAATTTCATCGAGGGAGAAATTCTCCCGATAATCTTCCGTATTGCAGCTACTCGTTAACGACTATAATAATGAATTCGTAAGAAAAGGGTGGTGTTATAGAAAATCAGCCAAAAAAGGGGGTATAGTAGAAACTGTTGAGATAATATCGAGACTTAAGCACTTCAAGGAATTCGTGTAGTACCGTACAGTTAGTAGAGTGCGAGACTTCGCACGTAATAGTAAAGTACCGATAGGCTGACGTCAGCAAAGCGCTACGCGCCCTAGGAAGATGTCAGCAAGTAGCTGTAGGCCTCGCGAATAGTCACGTACCGTTTCAGAACAGGAATAGCGTGAATAGCACGGTACAATAGGCGAATAGGTATTTTACTCTAGCTATATATTCTGTATGTTTGTCATTTTTTAATATACTTGATTTCAGAGACATTGATCCTGAAACGTATCACTACATGGGCTTTACATACTAGCCCAGACAAAGCCTCCTACATTGGCTTTAACTCATACAAAGACTTCCACTGCAACAGGAAGCTACCATCCTAAGTATACGATCCTATTCAGTCATTTCAAATTCTAACAGAAACGAGGTCTATCATAACACCCACCCTGCACAAGCTACCCGGGGGGTGTACAATTTCGGCGGGTGTTATGTCCGGGAGAATACGGTAATTGAATCAACACAGCACTACCTACGGTATTTCAAGCATCGTACACACGAAATGCGGCCAGAACCTGCCCTCTGCAAATGGGACACAGCGATTGCTCCACTCTCACAACCCTCGAACACGACAGACAACACACGCGGTGGCCGCACGGGATGAACACGGCCTTGCGCTTGCGATGCAGACACACCACACAGAGCTCTCCGCTCTGCACCTCCTCTTCCCCCACCACCCCCTCCTCATCCGCATCCCCACCGCGAATCAAATTCTCCAAGCTCCTCTCTAACTCCAAAGGCGAGGCTGCTATTGCTTCGCCATTTACGGTTTGAACAGGCCCACCTTCTGCATTCACCCATCGACTCCCTTCTGCCCCTGCCCCTGCTCCTCCTCCTGCCCCTGCTCTTGCCCCTGCACCTGCTCTTGCTGCTACCTCTGTTCTTGCCCCTGACCCTGCTCCCGCTGTCTGCTGCTGTCTCTCGAGGAGGATCGCCATCCATCGTTCCAGCTCTGCCTGCTCCACCTCCGCCGCTGCCGCCTGGCCTGCCGGCGACGATACGTCCTGATAGGAAATAAGGGGGAGCAGAAGAGGAGGTGATGCTGTCTGCTGCTGTCTTTTGAGGAGAATGGTCATCCATCGTTCCAGCTCTGCCTGCTCCATCTGCTGCCGCCGCTGCCTCCTCGCTTGACGGCGACGGTACGTCCTGATAGGGCATGAGGGAGAAAAGTGGGCAATAATGAAATGTAAAACACGAGAGGAGATGAGATGAGATGAGACGAGATGAGCAGACACTCATGCACCTACACACCTACACACATGCACGCATGCACACATCCACGTACACACACATGCACACACACACAGACACACAGACAGACACACACACGAGCACCCCCCGACACACACACACACACACACACACACACACACACACACACACACACACACACACACACACACACACATACACACACCCACACGTCCACACACGCTTACTTCCACACGGCGAGCCCAATAATGCCTGCAGCAGCAGCAGACAGCAGCACTCCCCACCCCAGCAGCGCCCCCCACCGCTGGTTGAGCTTTTGGATCATGCCTGCTTTGGTCTCTGGGAAGCTGGAGGGGATGGGGAGAGGAGAGGAAGGAGAGGGAGAGGAAGGGTTAGGGCGTTAGCATGCACAGCAGCACGCCCCACCCCAGCAGCGCTCCCCCACCGCTGGTTCAGCTTCTGAATAATGCCTGCCTTGGTCTCTGGGATGGGAAGCTGGAAGAGAGAGGCGAGGGAGGGGAGTGCGGGGTGTGGTAGTGAAGAGGGTGAGGAAGGGTTTGGGGCCAAATGCAATTGCAAATGCAAATGCAAATGCGAATGCGAATGCGAATGCGAATGCCTATGCGGATACAGCATTCCCCAGTGCTGGTTCCTCTTCTGGTTCATGCGTTGCTCTCAGGGAAGTTGGAAGAGACGGGGCGGAGAGGAGAGGGCATGGTTGGTTGGTAGTCACCGGATTATTTTGTCGACTAACAAACAGAGGATGGTGATTACCAGGAGGAAAATGGCAGGAAGACAGAAATACAAGGCATCTTAGACGAAGGGGCATTCCATGAGAGAAGGAACGCACTCACAGAAAAGCCACGTGAAAGAAAAGTGTTTTTGAGACGTCTCAAAAACAGGAAGACAGAAATACATGGCATCTTAGAAGAAGGAAAGGGACATCCCATGACAGAAGGAAGGCACTCACAGAAAATAGGGGAACTTGGGAGAAGCGAAGATGGCGGGGCGACCGTCCGATCCGCGCCTGACGTGGCCGACAGCTGTCAGCTCGTGATTGATCGGCAGCACCCTCTCGTCCGTGCGCAGGCCCACCTGGGGAAGGTACATGTGGAATTGAAGTGGTACTCATTTATGCATACATGCACGAATGACATATGAGACGACCAGCACCCTCTCGTCCATGCGCAGGCCCACCTGGGGAAGGTGTATGTGTGGGGTGACAATATATTATGTCTTCCATACAAAAGCAATATGAGACGAGCAGCAAACTCTCGTCCGCGCGCAGACCCAGCTAGGGAAGGAAGCATGTGGAATTACAATGGTGTGGTCATTTTGACAGTTCAGCACATCTGAAACAAGAGTCCTCAGATGGGTCGACTTTTTAGACGTCTCAAAAACCGACACAAACAAGACTGTTGATCCAATTTACGCTGTGGTCATTTTGACGGTTGAGCACATCTGACCGACACAGTGTTGATTTTGAGGCGCCTCAAAACCAAACCACATCTGACTGACACAGTGTTGATCCATATCTAATTTTACTCATCTAAGAGGTGACTCTTTAAGTCGAGTCAAAAGTCACATATTAGATAAGTAAGTACCTATGGATCGTCGATGGATAGCAGTAAGGAAGCGGAAATTGGTTGCTATGGCTGGGGTGACTGTGTATGTTAAGAAATTTCAGTGATGCTAACGCAATGTAAAATCACCAGCGGGCGCTTCCGTAAAGGCACGTGTAGGGCTTTTAGAGAGTACACGTACTGCCATGCACTCCCCTAAAGGTACGTGTAGGGCTTATAGAGAGTACATTTACTGGCATGCGCTTCCCTATCTATTAGCACATGCAAGGTCTATAGAGAGTACACTCACCGGAAGGCGCTTCCCTATAAGCACATGCAGCGCAGTGGCGCCCCATGAGGGGTCAGCCTTTTGCATGTGACTGTACACGGTGTGCAGAGGGGCTGTGTGGCGCCCACCAATGAGATGTCGACACGTGGCGCGAATGCGTGGGAAGTCTCTGCTAGAGAGAACGGGATCTGAGGAGTTTTGAGAAGAGAGAGAGAGAGAGAGAGAGAGAGAGAGAGAGAGAGAGAGAGAGAGAGAGAGAGAGGAGGAAGAGGAGGAGGAGGAGGTGGGGGGGGGTGGGGGGGGGGAGGAGGGGGGGAGGAAGAGGAGGGGGAGGAGGAGGAGGAGGAGGGGGTGGGGGGGGGTGGGGGGGGGAGGAGGGGGGGAGGAAGAGGAGGGGGAGGAGGAGGAGGAGGAGGGGGTGGGGGGGGGGGAGGAGAGGGGGGGAGGAGGGGGGAGAGGAGGGGGAGGGGGAGGGGGAGGGGGAGGGGGAGGGGGAGGAGGAGGAGGAGGAGGAGGAGGAGGAGGAGGAGGAGGAGGAGGAAGAGGAGGGGGGGGGGAGGAGGAGGAGGAGGAGGAGGGGGAGGGGGAGGGGGAGGGGGAGGGGTGTTGAGTTTAAAAGTCAAATGGTCGTTTCAAAACGGCTTGAGGAGTCCGACTTGAATGAGTAAAGCATTTGAGAGTGCATTCTGGAGGACAGGAGGGATGAAGCAAGGCCGCATGAGCAAGAAAAGGGAGCTGGTGACACGAGAGAGGGGTGAGGAATGGAGAGGCAGGGGATGGGTGAAGGCAGGCAAGGGAGAGAAATCACAGATTGTCTGACGAGGTTGACTTGGTCTGACTTTATGACCCAGCCCAGAAGCGGGTGCAGCTCCGAGTATAGCATCTGGTGGGAGTCAGAAAAAGGCCGATGAATTGTTTGTTGGGGGAAAGCAGATACGAATGAGGAGAGGACGAAGAAGGGGTTTCGACCTTGACCAACAGGAAGGAGTATGAGGTGAGGTGTGCAGCTCTAAGTTTAGCTCTGACTCGAAAACGAAGGTCAGATAGTCGACACAAAAAAAATGATGGTCCTTCACACAAAGACAAGAATGGCAGGGATGTGCAGAGAACGGCAACGGCAACGGCAACGGCAACGGCAACGGCAACGGCAACGGCAACGGGAACGGGAACAAGCAGGCACCCACCAATGCCGTCCATCCTGTGTTCCCCCCACACCTCCTTACCACATCTGACTGCTCCACCACAGCGCATGGCTGCTTGGCGCCGTGCATGGGCAACAAGGGGAGCAGCCCGGCCCAGAGAACCTCGAGAGCAGCTCTAGAGTTGAATCGAGAAACCCCAAGCACCCATTCCCACACCTACTCACCACGTCTGACCGTTCCACCACAGCACATGGCTGCTTGGCGCCGTGCATGGGCAGGAGAGGGGAGCAGCCCGGCCCAGCCACGGCTGTCGGGGGAGAGGCAAACCCTATCCCTGACCCCTGCTCTCCCCCCCCCGACCCAGACCCTTTCCCCGCTCCTGATCGGGGGAAAGAGAAGGAGAGTGGAGAGGAAGAGGAGGCGGAGGACGGGGAGGAGGAGGAGGAGGGGGGAGAAGAGGAGGAGAGCTGCACGGATCCTCTGACCAGCACCAGCTCGTGGGGGTTGGTGTAATCCGCTAGCTCACTCGCATCTGACGGGCTCTGGCCCACCTCCCGTTGCCCCGCTGCTGCTGTTGTAGCTGTTGCCCCCATTGTCCCCGTGCTGCTGCTGACTGGCTTGACGACCCTTCGTCGCTTTTGCTTCTACCCACGGGTAACAGCCATTTCAACCCGCCACTGCTGCTGCTGCTGCTCCCGCTGCTGCTACTGCTGCTGGTGCCACCACCGCTGGTGCCGCTGCGGACGCTGAGACTGCTGCTATCATCCTTCCCTGGCCTGCTCTCTCTGCCTCCATTCCCCCGCCATAGGCGCGTGAAGTACCCATTACTTTCACCGCTGCCATTACTCCTGTTATCCCCGCTACTGCTGCTACCTCCCGCTCCGTCTAATTTCTCCCCGCCTGACCCGCTGGCCTGCTCCGGCGCGCGCCTGAACCACCGCCGCCAGCCGCCGTTTCCGCCAGCCTTCCCCCCGGCCGCTCGGGGAACCTCCGAAGCTCCGCCTCCGCCGCCCGCCGGCGGAATCCCATTGAGTTCCGCGATGGTCGTTTCGCGCGCGGATATGAGCGATTTGAGCGAGCGCGACACGCCGTAGAGCTGCCACCAGGCCTGCGTCGCGCTACCGGCGATTAAGATGCCGAATAATACCTCCTCCTGCGCGAGAAGCGCGCGGAGGAGCGCCACCCAGCTTCCGCCGCCGCCTGATGCGCCGTAATCCCCGCCAACGGACGATGCCATTCACGAGGGGAAACTATGGCAGATGCGTAAACGAAGAAAAATGGTGTTTCTGAGCTAAGTGGTTTGTACAGGTATCCGGCAAAACACCGTACTTGGGTACCATAGGTAGTGTACCGTGTCTGACTATATTACATGTAATACGCCGTTTATGGCTATATGTAACGTATATAGCTACTGTATGTAATGAACAGTATACGGCTAACCTGTCAGTTGGATAGGAAGAGATGCAGCGAGCGACGCGTTTCCGTAGTTGGCGTGGCTAAAACTACTAGTTTGACGCGAAGGGATCCAAAAAAAAAAAAAAAAAAAAAGTGGCGTACACGACGTCGCGGACGAAGCGTGATACCCGCTCGATGAAGCGAAACGGGACCGAACATCCCAGCGCAAATCGGTCGTCGGAACCGATTTGCCGGTGTCGTCAGAGGGGGTCGTCGGAGCCGGGCCCGACGAGGCGGGCAACTGACGCGCGTGCGGGCCCGCCAGCCTGGCCCAGGGCCGGGCCGAGCGCACGACCGCCGCCCCGCAACCCCCCTGCGTGATTGAACAGCGCCCCACGTTACCGGGTGGGGGCGGCGAGCTGGCGAGCCCTCGCGCGAGGGAAAGTAACCCTCGCGCGAAGGCAGCCCTCCCGTGCCCGCTGCCCGCAACGTCCTAGTGACCCTCACGACCTGCCCGGACGGGCAGGCGAGGGCCATGCGAAATTCGGGTGCTCCCCTCGGGAAGCTCGACGATTTCGCGACCCGTTGCGGTGACGCCGCGTGCTCGCACGCGGGTTCGCATCGGGTGCATGCGAAATTTCGAGCCCGGCGAAATCGGCTCGCTCGCATCGTGGCGCGGGGTTTTCGCGATCCGGGGCGAAGTCGACACGTGTCGGCCGAAACGAGGCACCGCGCGCATGCGAAATTGCGTCCCCTCGCCGAGCGAAGCCGGGGGACGCGAAGTCGACGTGCTGGCTCGGCGGCGAAGGAGCGCTTGTGCATGCAGCCCGCCAAACCATGCCGAGCCAGGCACCACGAACCCTGGGCGATGCCTCAACCGGCCTGTGGGGCACCGACTCCCTTTCCTTGGCGGAAGGAGGCATCGCTCCTCATTTTCGGCATCTCGTTTCACTTTCAACATTACTCCCACATTCTCGTCCCTTAGCCTGCAGTCAATTCCCTTCAACGCAATGGAGGCCGACCCGAAAGCCGGCGAAGCGGCGCCGACCGTGCAGGACTTCCCTCTGTATCTCGACCTCGGTAGTGGACTCACTGCCAAGCTCGAGGAACACGACTACGCCGTCCTCGTAGACCATAGGCTAGAGTTCAACGCCCGTTGCTTGGGATTCGGCATCAAGTGAGTCTGCGTATGTGGATGTCGGCGTCGACATCTTCTTACATTGCTGGTCGACGCAGCGTCGGTGTTAGGGTTGTCCCACGTCGGAGGCGGCGCTACGAGTTCACGTCGACGCCGACAGTAGGTCGGTGTCGGCACAGGCATTAGGCACGCATCGGTCGGCTCAATTGATTACAACGTCGCAAGGGTGGTGCACCGTCGTACGATTGCCATCCCCGTCGGTCGGCGGTTCCTAAACCAACGTATCCACCGTCGTGTCGTGCACATACTCACTCACTCCTTATTCCCATGCATGCGTGCAGGCACGCATGGACTCGCGCGGCGCCGGCCAACATGCGATTGTGGTCGATAGGACTCGGCCGGCTTCGGGCGGCGATGGGTCGGGCGGACCACACATGCTTTGCGACGGTTTTCGACGCCGACGTAGCGGTTATCCCCTTGACTTCGAGGTGAGCTGGTTAGAAGTCGTCACGATGTGTGTTGCATCCTATGTCGGTGCTCTGTTCTGAACGACGTCGTCGTGCCTTGCCTGTGCAGCATCGCAC